GAAGTTCTATTAAAATAGGGCATCAGTACTTAACTTAGCAGCCAATAACATTAATAATATTGCTAAACGACAGAACTTCCCTGTTAATGCAAGGTACATTACTGAAAAATAACTACATTTTATACCTATTTTCTGTTTTATTTATAATATATGTTGTTATTTTTTAAGAATAAAAAATTTCGACTTGTTTTTTCTATCTTAATCTTCTATATAGTCGTCTATTTAGTTTAATTTATACCACATAGGTATTATTAGTAAAGAAAGTATGAAAAATTTCAACTTGATTTTTCTGTCCTAACGTTCTGTCCTTATTCCGGAATAATCGTTAGTGTCCTGATCTCGTCCTGAGATTTAAAAATTATTTTAACTAAATTTTAGCTTTTTAAAAACAAATAAAAATATTTTAAAAAGTAAATTATTTATCTATGAACCAATTAGCCCGTAAAAAAACAAAATTATTATTAAAAAAAATTTGAAAAAAAGGAGAGTATCATCCAATAGACTGGTCCTATAAAAATTCTTAAAGCAGTAACATCTAACAGTGAAAGATAATAGTTAAATGATGTACACTTTATCTATCTACAATAAAAACTTGGGGGAAGTAGCTTTACATTTCGCTGTGACTAAATATTTTAAGCAATGATATCAAATATATAGAAAAGCGGGGTACCAAGAAGTGATAAAATATTCTGGAAAAAAACGTCTAGCATATGAGCCATAATACTTTCTTATAAAAAATTGAGTTTCTAATACGACCCGCAAACAAATTGTTAAAATGAAACATGGAAAACATTACAGCTTGGAACCGATAGAGCAAAAATTGCTTAATATCTAGACTGAAATTGTTTTATACCTTATCACATCATTGAACTGCCAGAACAGGTGAACATTCTGTCAGGTGTTCTGAAGAATTACGTCAAGCATTTCTAATACAATCCAAAAACCCAATTGCCGATCAAGGAAATTTTGCTGCTACCATAAGTGAAAGGGTTTTGTGTTTTGTCTATTAGCACCATACTGACTCAACATTGCATACATAAATCTGTTAGATCTTCTGAAAAAATCCATTAAACACGTTAGACGTCGTACCTTGTTGTAAAAGTGCAAAACGTCGGAATGTGCAACATATCCTACGGAAGATCTATGGAAGTTCTATGGAAGATCTATGTAAGATCTATGGAAGATCTATTATGGGAGATCAATGGAAGATCTATGGAAGATCTAAGGAAGATCTATGGAAGATCTCTAGAAGATCTATGGAAGATCTCTAGAAGACCTATGGAAGTTCTATGGAAGATCTATGGGAGATCTATGGAAGATATATGGAAGATCTATGAAAGACCTATGGAAAATCTATGAACGATTTATCTATAGAAGATTTTATAACAAATTGAAAACCAAACTAGAAGACTTTGTTACTACCTCGAATAAATTTGTTTTGTGTTTATTCATTATTATCAGTCGACCGATCCAATATAGCATGTATAATTCGGACGCACTTTCATATGGAATTAAATTTATTATGTTTAAATAAATATAAATAGATTTTTAACTTAAGAAAGTTTTATTATTTTAATAATAATATTTAAAGCACATATACATCAAAATTTTATATATATTAGTAACACGAATATGTAAAATGAGTTTATATGAAGTAGTAACGAATTTAAAATATAATTCAATCTCTGAAGAGTCTAAGTTAACCTATTTTTTCTACAAAACTTAAGAAGTAATATTCTCTATTACATATTTATTTTTTTTTATATTTTATATTAAAAATTATTTAAGATAATTAGAAATATTCTCATGATGAATCTCACTTTTGAAGCATTACTTTAAAAATTTTTATAATTTTTAAGCCCTCAAAAAAGGTAAAACTCATGTGAAATTGTTGTGCTTAATACAATTTTTGATGTAATATGGGCTACCATGACTTGTAAGTCTCTATATAATTTTAAATTACTGTTTTCAGTAAAGTAGGAGTTATTTCAAAAATTTTCCATGAAGAAACACAAAAAATTAATTTGAGATTAAAATTTTCACGTTCATTGTCAATGTTAAGTCTAAAAATTTTTTTAAAATTGCTTTTAAATTAATAATAAATTTATTCGTTATGTATGAGCTGTGATAACAATTTAGAAAATTTAATAATTAAAATAACACAAAAAACACAAAGATTTCTTTGCGGTTTTGATGTGTTGAGATAGTTGTTGAAATATTGTAATATTGTAATATTGTAAATGTGAGGGCACGAATTGAGTAGAAGATTATAAGGTTGAGTTGTTAACGGCACATTTATGTGACTGCCATAATTGGAGAGACTACAGTAGGGCAAAGTATTGCGTGCTTCCAGCCATTAACGAATTTTAATAAATTTTAGGTACGAAAAAATCATATCGTTTGCCCAAACAAACAGTGGGGCACACCTTTTCGAGCTGCTTTTATTCCAAAATCGTGTTAGGGAAGTTTTCCTTTTACTAATTATTTTATTAAACATTTTCAAACATAGACGAATACGGAAAACGCATTTCAAATGAATATTGCCTGCCAAATATATACATCTATCGCCTTAAAATACTTCAGACACCTGCAATAACAAATTTGTGTTTATTTACGTCATTTTACTACTATTGATTGCTTGGAATTGCAAAATATTATTAAACGAATATCGTCGAGCCGT